CTAACCATCACCCATCTTAACTCATCCTAGTTACTTCTGATCAGGTCCTACAAAATTGTGCAGTATTCTCACAATCTCCTCGCAGAAATATTAGAACCAAGAATTAACAAGCTAGAACAGCTTCCTTTGTGATTCCATAGCCAGTATTAGGAATGTGATATATGTTCATATTACTGAACCATGCAGGTGTTGCTGTGCTTCCACCTGGTATAATAAGGAAGAGGTTGAATGGTTAGGGATCGATCAGGAAAACGGATGGTGTAAGTTTTAATATCCATTAAACAGTCAAACCTCTGCCCCCATTTATTAAGCATAACTGTTTGAAGATGTACAGAAGAGGCAGCCCTCTGATATAATGAGGCCCACACTTTAAGTCAGCCTGTTCTCCCACCTCACTAAAACCTTATTAGAACAAATGTATACCCTTTGCTTTTGCTATCATGCATCATTCAAAAACTGAAGTGGTTCCTGCAAACAAGGGAGAAACTGTGGTTTGTGCCTTACTTTATGGGTAAGTTATTAGAAAGATAACAACAGAAATGTTTGAGGAAAGGAAGAATAGAGATGGATGGGAGAAAAGAGCAGACAAGTAAAGAAAGAACAAATTTGGGTGTGTGGGTCCCCGTTCCGACCCACACACCCAAACAGCCAGCCGTGGGTTTAGAGACTTCTCCAGACACCACTTCACCGATAAGAAACTTGGCAGCAGCTCCGTAGCTGCCTGCCAAGACCTTTTACTCCAAACACCCAGAAACAAAAACTTATGTGTGTCAAATTTTGGTGTCGTGTGATGAAACGGTCTCTAAGTCGAAAACAGGCAGTGTCTCCAGGTTTACCGGTGGTGGTGGGAAAATATCGGACACGGGTGTGGTCCAGTGACTCAGCTTAATCTCTGGCACGTCTCTTTTTCTGCTGCGCACGCTTATCGCTCCTACGCTGGCGTGGATCCAGCCACAACTTCTCCTCCTCATTATCCGACACACCTGGCTCCTGCCAATCTGAGAAACACTGGGCTCCTGGCCAATCTCTGAATCACCTGGCTCCTGGTCAATCTCTTCTCCGTCGGAAGACACCTGAGGCATTGCCAAAGAGGAGGGTCGTGGAGAGGGAGGCCTAGCCATCTCCTCTCCTTCATGTTCGGAGCCTTCTTCCTCCGATAAGAGGGGCTCACAAGACGGAGCCACAACAAGAGGGAGGACACTCTTTCACATTTACACCATTGCGACTTGAACAGCAACTGTCATCTTAAGCAGATTTGACAGAGTATATAAGGTGGATATTAAAATCTCCTTTTAATGCTGATCTCCGGAGTCTTTGCCTCAGGAGCAATGGAATTTGCAAAAACGTTATATGCCATCATGAATAACAATCAAAAGCTGCCGAAGATCACAACTGCAGACTTTTGAAAACAGACCTTTAAATTCTCACTGCTTCTTCAAACATGATGTCTTCTACAATAGATGATCTTGATATTTAAATATCAAATACTCAATGATAGGATTTTCCCTGCTCAAAACACTGAAATGAATTCCCTTCCTGATAAAAGTTCTTAGTCTTGCTGTGAATGGGAAAGTAGATTTTTGCAGATTTTTTTTTAAGGGCATTTGTTCTCTCTCTTCTCCAAAGCCTTGTTACACTGCCAAATAACAGCTAATTTTAAACTTACCTCCCTTTTCATTATTGTGCCATTGAAAGGATAAATGCTTTCCTTCCCCAGCTGGGAAAAATGGCAAAAGGAATCCTGTTTGAAAACAGGCTAGCCTTACTAACTGAGAAGATACCGTGCCAATCTATTCTGATTTGAGTTCAGTGGGCTAGCTCTTATATATCAGTACAGGATTGCAGCACAAACATGCAAAGTCCTGCATGGAAGTAATGGATCAACAGTGAAAGAATGTGTAATGGAAGAGTGATTTATTTTTTGTCAAAATGCTATACAGCAGTGATGGCAAACCTTTTAGAAACTGATTGCCCCAAAACCACCCTGCCCCTGCCCTGCCCACCCCCCTGTGCCCCACCTGCCCACAGGGCCATCCACCACCTCCACGGCCCGCTGCAAATCGCCCAGGCAGCCCAGCAGCACCATGGTGGCCACACCCTCCACCCGTGCCCTGCAGCATCATCTGCACATGACGGAGCACGAGGGCGGAGTCTTGTCCCCGCTACTTAGCTGCCATGTCTTTTCAGTGCTGCTCTGTGCGGGCAGTGCCCAGGGGCAACTCTCCTCCAGGGGGGCTGCTGGTGAGGAGGAGGCCATGGGAGGAGGCAGGGCTGGGGCGACGGCACGCATGCCCATAGAGAGGGCTCTGAGTGCCGCCTCTGGCACGCATGCCATAGGTTCGCCACCACTGCTATACAGCATGTTCTCTGTAAAGGCTTCTCTGTCCCATTACCTTGGATCATTGTTGTTCCTTTAATCCAGGGGTCCTCAAACATGGCCATTTTAAGACTTGTAGACTTCAACTCCCAGATTAAGGATTTGGATGAATGTGAAATAAGGTTTTGGAATTAATGGGAAATTAATAGAATTAATGGGAAAATTCTATTGTTTTGAATTCTTTAAAAAAATGATAGGATGAGACTTTGAAGGTTGGATACTAGAGGGAATCGGGCTTTGTAGTTAGACCGTGCTTAAAGATATTATAAAAAAATGAACAAGTTTTACCTAATAAGACTTGGACTGATCTGAAAATGGATTTTAAAAAGACAGGGTACAAGAATGATATGGAAAAAGGTACTACACTGGATATAAAGAAACTGGTTAATGTCTTAATAATTAAAAGGGGTATATAAATACTAAACTAAGAGTGTGACCTGGATAATTTTGTTATATTGGATTTAAAATATAACTCCTGTTAAAACTTGGAAGAATTTTGTGAGAAAGAACAAGAAAAAATGAAATCAAGTTCTAGTCTGTTATTTAAAAAATCCAGATTGTTAGATGGAAAGGGAAGGAATATAAAGTTGGTTTATTTGATCAAAGTTAAAATAGATGCTGTTTTCTCTGCTTATCCTTGATGGGCTTTTGCTGATCAGGACTGAATGACGAGGCTTTACGGATTTCTTAATAGATAGGACATGGAATATGAGAAGAAGAGATTATTTGTTGTATTTTAAGAGAAGGCTTAGAAGAGATCAACCCCGAGTGCTCTTTAGAAGGCCAGATCCTGAAGTTGAAACTCAAATACTTTGGCCACCTAATGAGAAGGAAGGACTCATTGGAGAAGAGCCTAATGCTGGGAAAGATTGAGGGCAATAGAAGAAAGGGACGACAGAGAATGAGGTGGCTGGATGGAGTCCCTGAAGCAGTAGGAGTGAGCTTAAATGGACTCCAGAAGATGGTAGAGGACAGGAAGGCCTGGAGGAACATTGTCCATGGGGTCGCGATGGGTCGGATACAACTTCGCAACTAACAACAACAAGAGAAGGCAATAAAGTACTAAAATTGTTATAGTTGTCATGTTGAAGAAGGAAATCATTTCTTTATATAGTTTTTTTTCTTTATGATGGGTAGTCCTCAAGTTATGCATACTGTGTTTCCCCAAAAATGAGATCAGGTCTTATATTAATTTGTATTCCAAAAGACACATTAGGGCTTATTTTCCAGTTAGGTCTTATTTTCGGGAAAATACAGTACCTGTCTGGCTGACGATCTTAACTGGGGATTATTTTGGGGGTGTGGGTTATATTACAAGCATCCTGAAAAATCATGCTAGAGCTTATTTTCTGGTTGGGTCTTATTTTCGGGAAAACACGGTATTTGTTCAGGAACCAAAGTTTGATGATGCTAAAGGAAGGGTCTTATGATTAGTCCTCAGTCTTCTGATTGTTGCAGTGCCTCCTCAGTGTTGTGAACAAAATTGAAGAGCTTGGCAATCAAGGGTTGCACTTACGACCGATTGCAACATTCCACAGTCACGTAATTGCTATTTGTGACCTTCCCTACCATGGCCTTTATTCACTTGCACGTACCACACTGTCTTCTCCCTTCACTCACACTCCTCCACTACCCTTTTTCTCTAGCATCCCTGCACCAGCACGGACATACCCCGCCCTCTTTCCCTGGCCTCCCTGCACTCATATACATCCTATGTAGCCTTCTCTACCCAACCTTCTTAGGCTTGTGCCACACCACAGCATCTCCCCTCCCAATTCATGTATGCTATGTTTCCCAGGACCTCCTCTATCTCCTTGTGGCATCCCCACACTCTTTATCTGGGACTCCTTCTGCTTCCCACTTAATAACTTTCCTGTCTGTAGTTATAACAACAATCAGAACTACCTGGATTGCCCTCCCTAAGCATGCGGTGTCCCACTTTATGGCCACATTGCTTAACCACAGCAATTCCAGTCATAATTCAAGGATTACCAGTATATTCTTATTTTTTTCTCTCTTTTCTATTTTTCTTTCTATTTTTTCATTTTTGCACTTTTAGTTTTTTATTTTTATTCTCTTGTTAGTTTAGTTTGTATAAATGTAAATGTTTTATTATTGTAACTTTTAAAACAATTACATTTTTTTTTTAAAAAAAAGGACCATTGGCATGGAAATGAAGGCAAGCCTCCAAGACTTATATTGCCTTGGTGCCATCCTAATGTCTGTCGCCATCCTGTGTCCAAAAGTCTTTTCTTCAGTCCTTTTTTTTTTTTGGCTTGGTTATATTCCATCCTTTGTAATATCCCACAAGAAAAACTATAGAGAGACTGTTCTCTGATAAGAATCTTCCATGAGAATTGAAAGCTAGGTAGGACATAAACCGTTTCACTGGGAAGCCTTGATTTGATTATTTTTTTTTTAATGATCAAAATAAGCATGAGTATGTTGAAAGCTTGAAAAAAAGAGTTTTTCTTCTATCTCAACATGGACTTGAACGGTTGGTGAAGAACCCATTATGGATTCTTCATTATTAGCAGAAACCAGTATGAAACTGAGTGCAGCAAATAAGTAGCCTGGCTTTTCTGCATTTATTAGAAAGAGGAAGTGGGCAGGCCGACTATCAACCCTGACCGACAAGAAAGGCACCATTAGAGAGAGTCTCCTCCACAGAGATCATGAAAGCACTCAAGGTTGTTCCTGTCCTCCTTTCACTGATTTATACCACCGCCAGCGTCACCAGATGGCCTACACACATAATCTGCAAGAACGATAATTTGGAAGTGAACTACAGAAGCTGTGGTGAGAGCTCATAGTTGTGTTTAATGTCTTACTATAACCTTGTTTTGTGCTACTCCAACAGATTGTGCAATAGACTGTTTGCTAGACATATTTGATATTTCAGGTCTTGATGAAGACTGGACTGGGGCAGTTTTCTCTCGGCACATTCCATTTCCATCGGACTAAGAAAATATTAATAAAACATGATTTTATATATAAGGGTAACAGGGAATAAATAATATATTAGAAACCTGCTCATTTTAACCTCATCATATCTTCTCCCAGTCTAATCTTTCAAGTAATGCTTGAAACATTTTTAGTAGAGAAGGTAAACTCTGATCTGGTGAATGGAGCTTTCATGCAGATTCACCTCAGTCTAACCAATACCCTTCCCCAAATATTCAGATTCAACAGGTGGGAATCCTGATTTGTCTGTCTCCTCCCCCATCTTCTTCTGTCCCTACCTGGGTAATAAGCAAGGCAGTGGAGACATTTCCTCCAGTGATGCAGATCTGTTATTTTCTCTCCTTCCCCTTTTCAGTCAGCCTGAATCAGGTTTAATGTGTAACTCAGGAAGGAATCATGTTGTCAAAAGCGGGTCGCCAGGCTCCCCCATGCAGTGAGATTCTTAGACTGGCAGCACTTCCCATAGACAGTTGGTTTTTCTAATCTGCTGGCAGAGAAAAAGAGCAGGCACCTCTGAAATGAATGGAAATGAATCTGCTTGGCATTCCTTTTTTCCAAAGCTTTCCAGCTTGACTGGCTCTGTGCCTCAGCTGCAGCACTGATCCAAAGAGGATAAAAGGAATGAGCTTCACAGACATCTCATTCATATGAGGCACGTGATATGAAAAAGTGATCAGCGGCACACGAAAGCCCAAGAGTTGTTGGGTTTTTTTCAAATTCATCCAAACACAAAAGCTGCCCTCTGTGAGTTTGCCTCCTTCCCTGAAGCTCAGGCACTGCTTTATACCATCACAGAAATTAAAACAAAAATGGAAAAAAAAACAGTGAGGGATACAAGGAGTAAATAAATATTTGGAATGAAATCTTTTACTAGTCAGTTCCTAGGAGACAAAGTCAGCTTTCAATTCTTATAAGCGGATCTCCTGTAGTAGACACGAATAGTCACAGGACAGCTTATCATTCAGCAGGCGAAATAGAGAAGGCTGCTTTTTATGAGTCAAACTATGACTTCATTTTACTTTAATATTGTCTATTCCATCTGGCTATGTACCAATATGTACCTGCGATCCATTTCTGAGAGCCCTCAGGAACTGACATTCTACATGCAACCCAAATGTTTTATTGCTAAACTCAGGACCCAAATCAAAATAGGAGACATTTCTCCTGAAGAAATCAAACCTTGGTTTCATGTAGGCTGTTAGATTGTTGAGAAAGAACAGATAATAGCAGTAACAGATATGGGCATATTAATGTTTTTTTCCACAAGAAACTCAGTCTGTTCATGCAGTGGGCATATGCACAAGCTATTGCCTCATTTACAAGTAATAGTGACAACTACAGCTGCTAGCAGCTATTGTTTTTGCATTATTCCCTCAATATACCAGAGTTCTATATATCAACTATTTTGTCTTTAGCTGAAATGTCATCTAATTCAAGTGAATGCAATCTTATGTTCACTGACTTGGAAACATATCTCACTGAAATTCATGGGATTATTTCTGAGGAAACATAGTTAAGCTCAAGCTGTACATGTTTTTGTAAAGTGTTACTAGCCAGAGTCTGTCTTCAGAAAGTTGTGAATTTGACCAATATAATAAGTTTAACTTGGAGACTCAGTGTTTCTTGTATGTAAACATACTGCAATGGGCTAGGGTTTTTTAAAGTATTTTTTAAAACTCTACAGATTAGGTACTGAATACATAAAATGCACAAACTGACTTTAAAGTACCGTTCAATTTCTTTTGTAATGTCATTTGTTCTTTTAATCAATGGGCAGTATCAAAATGACTCTAAATTATCTAAATGAAACACTATTGGTATACTGAGTTTATATTTGATTGTTCAACCAGACAGTGGTAGTCAAGGTGACTAGCAGTAATAAAAATAAAATATAGAAAACCACTTTATTTAAAAATATAATAAAAAGTGTTTGGGGTTTTCTTAATTAAAAACCTAAAATTATACCACTTCAAAACTTTAAAACTTCAGCTTATTCACCAAAGGGCGGTCAGAAGAGAACAGGTCCATTTGCCAGAAAGTAATAATCAAGAGAACTTGTAAAAAAAAATCTTTTTCTAAAAAAAGCTACAAGCTAGGCTTCCCTAATCTCCCAAGGTATTATAATGACAAGTCCTCAAATTCCCAACTGGCACAGTTACAGTATTCTCAACAGTTCTGGGGAGTAGCAGACACAGATGGTTAGAAATGACAGACGGCAAATATTTCATATCTATTTCAAAATAATCTTCCAGGAAAATATGTTGCTGACCTGTTTGGGTCACTTTTTGGTGGCGAAGGACCACAGCTGACATTTCAAAAGAGGCTGAGAGCCGCAGAGTAGATATGAACACTCACCAGTCATCTGGAACAAGTTGGATTTGTTGAGAAATTGGTTTTTCAAGTAGAATGTGAAAATTTCAGAGATTATACTATAATTTTCATGCCTTAAGCCATTTCCTCCCTGTCACTTATAGCATTTTTTAGCTTCATCCAGTTAATCATTGAGGAGATTTAAAGATTGCCTGTTCCTGTTATGTTATTTTGACACAACAAAAGTTGGCTGGTTATAGAAGATGCTGTAAGTGACTAGGGTGATGGCATTCACACTATTTCTCACTCAAAACAGTGGGAAATTGAGGCTTCAGCAATCATAGTCACAGGTGCTGCAAAAAGGTCATACATTGCTCATTCCTGAATTCAGCAGATAGATAGATAGATAGATAGATAGATAGATAGATAGATAGATAGATAGATAGATAGATAGAT